GCCATCATTATATTATATAGCCACTTATCAATCTGCACAAAGTCTTTTATGATGTTATTCTTCCGTTATTTATTTTGCTGACAAATATACATTCTTTGATCCATAGCTCCAGAAATGGCAGCTGAACTTGTTCCCTCAGCCTTGGAGCTAATAGCAAGAGTTGAAGCTGTAGCATCATTGAAAGGGGTGAGGCTGGGGAGAGATTCTAAAAATGAACTCCAAAGGCTTGGGCGCAACCTTTTGGACTTAAATGCTTACGTTAAGGATGTAGAGCAAGGGAGAATCGACGACATCGTTATCCAAGGTTGGATAGATCCGCTTACAGATGCAGCTTATGACGTGGTGGATGTGTTGGACGAGTGGATCACTACACTCGTGAAGTTGAGAATAAAAGGAGTTGGCAAAACCTCTATTCTGAAGGCTAAGGTAGGTTCCTACATTACCCACTGTTTACATACTGCCCAAGTTGTTAGACGTGATGATCTTGCTTTCAAATTAAAGGAAATCACTGACAGGCTAGATGTGATTGCCAATGAAATAAATCTGCTCTGCTCAATAGCAAGTTTAGAGTTTCATCATAGCAGACGGCTTGTGAGTACAGCTCTTGTTGATGATGTGTCAGCTATAATTGGTCGAGATGAGGTTAAGGGAGACATTGTAAGCAGTTTGTTGTCTGCGTCCACTGAACGACTTAAGACAATTTCTATTGTTGGCATGGGTGGGGTGGGAAAGACAGCTATTGCTCAACTTGTTTACCACGATGAGGAAGTTAAGCAGCATTTTGATCGTAGATTATGGGTTTGTGTCTCAGATGTATTTGACGAGAATAATGTTGCCAAAACAATAATTGAAGGAGTTGAGGGTTTCATGAGTTTTGGAGTGGACTCCCTTGATTCATTTCCACTTTCTGCCCTTCTTGATAGAATGTGTAGATCTATCCACGGAAAGAAATTTTTTCTTGTGTTGGATGATGTGTGGGCAGATGACAAGCGACAGTGGGAAGGACTGATCCAGACTTTCAAACATGGTGCCCCAGGGAGTAGGATTTTGTTAACTACTCGTAAGGATACGGTGGCAAACATGATGGACTCTCATGTCATTCATTTGCAACCGTTATCTGATGAACAGTGTTGGATGTTAGTCAGTCAAGAAGCATTTTCTGGAAGGGGTGTTGAAGAGTGTCAGAATTTGGAGGATATTGGGAAGAGAATTTCAAACAAGTGTAAAGGCTTGCCTCTTGTTGCAAAGGAACTAGGACGCCTCCTAATATTTAAGAGCAGTAGGACAGAGTGGGAAGATATTTTGCACAGTGAAATCCGGAAGTTAGAGATTGCACATCTACGGCTTTTTCCTTCTCTACTTTTGAGTTATAATGATTTGCCTTTACCACTGAGACAATGTTTCAAGTATTGTGCTGTTTTCCCAAAAGATTTTGTATACGACGGAGAAACAATAATGTACCACTGGATGGCACAAGGCTATTTAGGATTGAACAATGATGAAGATTTAGAATTAAAAGGAAGAAAGTACATTAGCTACTTAGCAGCTAGGTCTTTTCTCCACGATTTTCTGCTGGATACAGATGGTATAAAATCAACATGGAAGATGCATGACATTATGCATGATTTTGCACAGTTTTTGGTGATCAATGATGGAATTGTGATTGAGGTCAATTCAGAAGGCAATTCAATGACAGATTTGTCTTCCAGAAAAGCTCATTATTTGACAGCATGTATACCAGAGGGGCATTGTCTTCCTACTTCCATTTATGGTGCTGAAAAGTTGCGTAGCCTTATGATCATTTCTGGAGAGAATGCAATAACCAATGAGGCTCTGCAAATCATTTTTAATCAAGCAAAACAGCTAAGGTTGGTGAATTTTGGTTGCCATAATGCATTAGTGGATAAAATTCCAAATGAAATAGGGAATTTGATCCATTTGAGGCACATTAACTTGAGTGGAAGTGAAATAAAAGGATTGCCCAGATCTTTGTGTGAGTTACATAATCTTCAATATTTAAATCTCAATAATAGCAAATCTCTTGAGAATTTACCAGATGAGATAGGGAATTTGATCAACTTGATATATCTGGGGACCCTTCATTGCTACAAGTTAGCTTGCTACCCCAAATCAGCTAGGAGATTAACAAATTTGAGGCAATTATGTGGGATCGTGCTTAGGGCTGATAGAAATGACCCTAAGGAATTCACTCTTGGAGACCTTGAAAACTTGAACTTCCTTCGTGAACTTTCCATGGTACTGAAAGGAAATGCAGTAAATGATAGAGAGCTTAAAAGAGCCAAATTTGAAAATAAGACAGATTTAAAGGATATCGAGTTGGAATCACTAGGTACTCTTTATTTATTTTTATTTTTTTTTAAGGTTTTTTTATTTTTCGGTACATGAAATGATGGAATTTGTACAAGAATAGATAGTTCTTTTTAAAAAAAAATTTTTTTTCACTAAACTTAAGGTTTGAATTTTAGACCTTCAATTGGATCAATTTCAAAATCTTAACCAATTCTCTCTAAGGGTTTTGAATCCATCTCATGGACTGTATACTTTCACTGAGATGAAATGATCTTTAAGGTTGGAGTGGATTTCATGTGAGGAAAAGAATTTCAAAATCCTATTTCATATTATTACCCTCTTTCATAAAAAATGTTATGATATTATTACTAACATGTGATTTTAAAATGTCTCCTGAGAGGCTTCTTTTGGAAATCCCTTTTCAAATTCTCCTGCGTTCTCCCCTTCCTAAAGT